GGGGGACGGAGATAGGGGAGGGGAGGAGAAGGAAGGGGAAAGGGACAGAGGGAATGGAGGGGAGGGGAGCGGGAAGAGGCGGGAAAGCAAAGTAGCGAATTTGTATCCCAATGATCTGTGCACTTACCGCTTTTATTTAGCTTGAACAGAGGAACGGAATTGTCGAACTGGGTTTAATAAAATTATTTAAAAACAATTCCACAAGATTGTGAACTACCCATGCATCCCGCTGCTCCTTGACAAAAAGGTGCCTGCTACGAAGTATACAGAAGCCAGTACGTTCGTTCCTCGAAGTTCCTGGCATCTTTTAAACATATGATCTGCTGTGTATGTGTAGTTTGAACTTTTGAGTAGATCCAACGTGTTTTGATAGCAGAGAGTAGGCCTATATGTAATTCCCTTCTACCCAGCCAAAAAGCGTATTCTACTCGACGTTGATTCGACGTCTAATACACGATGACGTCTATTTTTGGACCATTTGCACCTCTATATAGACGTCTATTTGTTCCGAAAATATACATCAACCTCTAAATGACGTCTCGTAGACGTCGAATAGAAAAAGCATTTCTTGCTTGGTGGCTTGGTAGAAGAGGATGGTGGGGGTGGGATGGTGGGACTTGGATCATTCAACTCGTTTTCAAGAGAGACCAAACATCAAACCTTCTATACTTATAGGCTACTGACCTAAGCTAAGCGGCGGGCCTGGGACCTGACCTCTCCCAATTAGAACCCAGTAGCCGCCTGAGAGCGAGAGTGGATCGAGTGGGAGACAGGAGAATGCCAGGTACACAGGGTAGCGTAGCACGTAAAGCGCGTGCCACCCGGGGCTCCCGGGGCCACCCCACCTCAGCTGTCGACGCCCTTTCACACGGAACCACTCGGTGGATTTTCCCGTTTCCTCGAATGTTGCTGCCGTCGCTGCCGTCCCGCAAGGGTGTACAGCAGCGTCCAAAAGTCCCGGGCCAGACAACTTTATGTACCCCCTATATAGTCGCAGTGAGAAACCTTTAACTATCGACGTCGTCGACATTTTTCACACCTCAGCTCGGACTGGAGGGACAAGCACAGCATGAAAGAGATGCGAGAGGATTCAGACACAAAATATGCACTTTTATTGTTATGTAGCTTTTACACTTCCATATCAGTTGAGATCACACTATGCTCTTACCGCTCACGTCCTGTACAATCTATTCTACAAAATTTCATACCATCAGTGCTGCCATTGTAGTTTACAGAGGCCTTTACACATTTTAGAAAAAAAAAAGGTGCCGGAAGTTACTAAATGAAGAGAAAATCTTAAAGATACACTGTGCAAAATATTACGGGAAAACCATAGTCAGAGATTTAAAATGTCAGAAAGTAAGGCATAAAGCACGGCCGAATTCGATACATAAATGGTAAAGAAATATAGGCGCTCAAATTGCTGATAATACAATGGCTCATCATTCACCCTCTCCACATCAGGACCACATCGTTGACAAGATTAATTGCGACTCAAATATGTATGCACTACATATTACATGCTAATGAAATATCATCATGCTACTACAGGAGGGAATACAAGATATTGTTGATGGTAACTAGCATAGAACTTTCTTTAAACTTTTACAGTTGACTGTAACATGGCTGCAATCTAAATCAAAAAGAAAACAAGCATCCACCCACTCTTGCAGCATCCATTAATTGAAAACAGTGGTCACAAGCATTCTTAGCGGGTGACCCACGTAGTGGTCTGACCTCTTATTAGAACAAATTAAAGGCAGCTTAAGACATTGAGTGAATGCTATAATTAGAATAAGGATTACATCAACAGTTGCATCTCATTTCTCTAAAATAAAATTCATTAATTTAGAACAGCTCAATAAATAAACTCAAGATAAATAAATAAAAAGCAATATTACAAAGTAATTAGAAAATGCTAGGCAGTGAGCAGCGTTCATTGCATACATACACCAAAAAATAAATAGGTGGGTATAGTAGAACACTTATTTCTGATCGGAGCTAGACAGCTCTGTCTTCATAAAAATTAAAAATTCATTTAAAAAAAAATTAAAAGTATCTCACACAAGGTAAGAAAATGGAAAACAAAAAGAGATAATAGAAAAATAACAGCAATATGGCAACATTGGTAAGGTCCAGTCTTTCGTGGGCAATGTGCAATGCCACTGATTAAATTCTACAACAGTATATTACGAATTGACCACCCTACAAATAAAATCTTACAATTCTAGTGTCTTTGAACAACAATGGACACATTCATAACAGACAATTAAAACAACAACTACAAAAACTTATATTGTGAGTATTTACTTTAGATTGTATACAACAAGAATCTGAAAATAAACATGGTGCAAGATAGTAGTTTAATACCACATAGAGTAATCAGAGGATAAGATTCAGTCAAGTGTTACACATCAGAAATCTCCATATCAATATCTGTCAAAATTTTCTAACTGAATTTTATCCTTTGCAGTACCTACAGCATAGGTGAACAAGCTAAAATTGTAGTTTTAAAGGTAAATAATTTTATACTGAACAGGTAATCTAATCCAGTTACACTGATGGGAGCTCGTACTTCATCACAGATTTCTCTTAGATTAGCATGTTTTAGGCAGATTTTGTAATGATGCAGCAAAGCATGGCCTCTCTGACCAGACACAGAAAAAGTTCCAGAAAATAGCACCCACACATACAAGCCAGACCAAAAGACCAAGACACAATACAGAAACACATCTTTGTGAGAAAAAATAATGCATACAGAGTTTTTATGCATATTTACAGAAATTTCTAGATCTACAAATCTAATAGCCTCAAAACATTTTAAAATGCACATAGGCCTCTAAAGTTCAGATCACTACTCACTATTACCACAGTTACTAAGTAAGTATACAAATCAGTGCCACTTTGTAACAAGTCTTAAAAGTGCAAATGTAGAGAGCTACAACAGATTGTTAATAATTTGCTAATAACTTTTTTTGGCACATTGTATGCCAAGTTGACAAATTCAACATGATCCCTTCACAGAAAATTTGGATAGTCATTCAGTCCTACAGCAAGAGATTAAGATTAATTTCAATTCATTTCAAGATAATTCCACTTCACACCTTCTTTAAATAGATAAGGCCAATGATAGGCATTTAAGTTTCTAGAAGGAAACAAAAATATACAATTAATTTTCATAGTCATTTGTGCAACACACCAACTTCAAATAGTAACCAAATAACTTAAAGTTTAGAATTATCTTACAGGAAAACACAAACAAAATTTACAATCCTCTTATAATTTTGACTTCTATCTCATTATTATCTACTAATACATATAGACAAAACAAGAACACATTTAAGTGTTTTCTTTGGTTGATGGACCTACAACATTTATGAAATGTGCTGATCACTTAAATCGACTAGGAAAAGTACGGTATTTGTCTTGTGATGTGCAGTGTCTCAACTTAACTATTGAACAACTAGACTCTCCTGCTCTCACTAGCGTGTCAAATGTATGAACATACACATTAGGGGTGTGTATATCTGAAATCTATCCGATTTGGATAAATCAATGTTTCTAGTAAAAACTAGATAGACATGAAAAAATAATTTTGTTTCTAAATAAATACCACTGACAAGTTTTTCAGCACTCTTTCAACACAGTTTTCAAACAGATAAGAGTGGAACTATGTATACAACAATCACATGAAATTTTCTAACTGTTACTATAAAGGAGTTTCTTTTCTCCACTGAAATCCATTTGGTCTATTCACAATGGCGGCTGATGCTGGACTTGCGACACTAGAATTAGTAACTCTTGCACTGCTATTATTTTTTCTGCCAGATGAAAAATCCAAACCGTTCTTTAGACCAGGCATAAGTCTTAGGGCAGGATTGGTCACAATGCCATTCCTTTTTGGCTTACTGCCACTGAAAGTATAAAGGATAGAATACCAGATTAAAAAAGAAATACATTTTTACCCCATTTCTCAGGAAATGTACCAACCTGCTGCCAGAATGAATAACATCAGCACCAGATTTCATATTTCTTGCTACTCCGGCACTACTGTTTCCAAGGATAATGCGCATGTGTGTATCTCGAGTGAAATGTGGATCAGCCAGGATGCACCCAAGGCCCCCTAAAACCAAATAAGTGATGAGTCAAGTTTCAAAATCAATGTGAAATCAACTAAGAAGACTATCCAGTATCCACATATCCAATACAAACCTGTGGGCGTCACAGCCATGGGACTAGCTGGCATACCAACATCACTAAGCGGGGAATGAGGTGGAGTCGCATATATAGGACTCTGAGGTTCCGATTGAAGAGGACTGAGCAAGCGAGAGAGCGGTCGAGACTTGCCTCCTCTTGTACATTGCTGAAGCTGTTGCGTGAAGGACAAAGCAGCCAGCTGGAAAGGTTAAAAAAGGTTGATTTACTTCGTTCATCTGTTCCACCTCAGTAACAGAACATATTTAGGCAGAAGCTAACCTGATGAGAGTTATTAGATTCTTGATGAGAACTCTTTGTACTGCCAGTAAGATTACTGCTGGACTTGGAATGGCTGGAGTGGTTGCCCAGAGACACAAAGGACCTTCTCTTGGATGTTGAATCTGGAGAGTCCATGGGTGAGACGGAATTGTGATGTGCCATGGGAGCTGATGGAATCAGTAAGGCTGAGGAAGGCTTTGTCTCGGCCGATGCTCCTGAGGTAATTGAGGTAGCTCCGCTACTTCCACCTATAGAAAAAGAGTAAAAAATACCATTAAAAGGGAGTACTATGACTATGGTAGAAATTCATAAGAGTTGAGGCATTTACCATTTGCAGCTAGTCGAAGATGGTGCGGTCTGGACCCTGCAGCAAATTCTTCGAGAAGACGGACAACATTTTCATGTCCACTTTTCATGGCAACACGTAATGCATTCCTACCACACCGATCCGAGTGGTTAGGATCAGCACCATGTTGCAATAATGCCCTAACACAAGCTTCATGTCCTTCCTGGGCTGCGATACCTAAAAAAATAGGAATAAGTAAGAAGAAAATGTGCACAAAAAGAACAAAGTATACATTGTCAATCATAAACATACCAAGAGCAGTAGCTCCCTGGTTGCATGTGTGATCAGGAGCAGCGCCATGCTCTAAGAGAAGCCTCACAATTGCCGAATTGCCTTGCCATGATGCCGAATGAAGTGCTGTTCGGTTGTCATGGTCCACTGCATTTACATCTGCCCCTCCTACAGTCAAGAGCAAAGCCACCATCTCCACATGGCCTTGCCAAGCACTTACATGTAAAGGGGTCCGCCCCTGTACAATTCAAGAAGAAAAATAATCTTTAGCATGACTCTTCGATCATTTTGACACATAATAACTAGATTGACCTGTAAATGTTATGATACCTCAGAGTCTCGACTTTCTACATCAGCCCCTCCCTGATCCAGCAGAAAACGAGCCATTGGTAGCCTATTTTCAAGGGCTAGTATATATAAACAGCTACGACCATCAGCATCCTTTGCATCTACATCAGCACCACTTTGAATCAAACATCTAACTGCTTCATAATGACCCTCCAAGGCAGCCATTCTGAAAAACAAAACACATTGATTATCTCAATCTGAACATTAAAATGAACACCTCAAAAATTCCAGATCAAACGAATTACCTCAAAGCAGTCTTTCCATCATGAGCTTTTTGATCAGGTCGGGCACCATGTCTGACAAGGAAATCCTGCACCAATGACACATGTCCTTCTTGGGCAGCTAGCATTAAAGGACCCTTTCCATCATTGTCTGGTTCATCACAACGCGCACCACCTTCCAAAAGAGCTTCACACACCTCACGGTGACCCTCAAATGCAGCATAGTGCAAAGGAGTCCAGCCTGAATTGTCTCTATGCTGCTCGTCAAGTCCTGGGGGAAATTATAAAATACTTAGCAGACAATAAGCAAATTGGTGACATGATTTTCAATCATTCGATACAACCTACCTCTGTCTAGAAGCTGACGAACAACTTCAGTATTGCCTTGAGCAGCTGCAACGCTCAGAACAGTGCGGCCTTCATTATCAATACTGTCAACGTAACAACCCCAGAACAAAAGAAGGGCAACGACAGAGGAATGACCCATCGAGGCAGCAGCCCAGAGCGGTGTGCGGCCGCATCTGTCGGCGTGATCGACATCTGCTTCGCTCTCCAGAAGAAGCTCGCACACATCCCTGGAAGTAAAAGTAATGACGCAATACAGCGCTAACGCTCCTCCTCCTCATTCATTCTTTTAATGAGTGGTTAAGTAACGAATGACGAACCTGTGTCCTTCAAATGCTGCTACCAAGAGCGGTGTCATTCCATCTTTGTCCTGGTGATCTACTGAGGCACCCTTCTCTAGGAGAATGTTGACGACGCTGACCTTGGCGTATCCCTCGTTGGCCGGCACGCAGAGCGCGGCGACACTCAGGGCGGTCCTACCGTCGTTGTCGGCGTGGTCGATCTCGGCGCCGTGCTCCAGGAGGTGCTCGACGATCTCGGCGTGGCCCATGTAGGCGGCCGCGATGAGCGCGGTGCGACCCTCGTCGTCGGTGCGGTTGACGTGCGCGCTGCACGGCGCGGCCCGCAGCAGCGCCAGGACGATCTCCTCGTGCCCGCCCCAGGCCGCGGCGCGCAGCGCGGTGCGCTGGTCCGTGTCGGCGTAGTCCACGGCGGCACCCGCCTCCAGGAGCAGGTCCACTACCTGCCGGTGGCCCCCCCACGCCGCGGCGCGCAGGGCCGTCCAGCCGTCGCGGTCGGCATGGTCCACCTGGGCGCCGCCCGCGAGCAGCACCTCGACGACGTCCGCGTGGCCGTGGCGCGCCGCTAGGTTGAGGGGCGTCTGCCCGTGGCGGTCGGTGCGCTCCAGGTCGGCCTCCGGACAGCTGCTCAGGGCCAGCTCCAGGAGGCGCGCGTCGCCCTCGGCGGCCAGTGCGTGCAGCAGGGTGCGCCCGCTGCTCGGGTCGGCGCGATTCACGTCGCGGTCCATGCCCAACATCCCCAGGAGCTCGGCCAGCGCGCCGGAAGCCGGGCTGGGCTCGGACAGCAGACTGGACGCGGCCTCGTCGTCCACGGAGGGCAGCTCGCTGTCGACGCCCGCGTCTGCAGCACCGACGGACCGCTTGTCGCCGCCGTTGTCGTCATCGTCACCCTCACGGGCCGCGAGGGTGTCCACCCCAAGAGCATCGCGGGCGGGAGGGCTGGCCCCGGCGTCCAGGAGCAGCTTGACTACTTGCGGGTCCCGGGGCACGGGCAGGCTCGGACACGGCACCGCTTCGTCGCCCTCCTCCCCCTCCTTGTCGGGGAGCAGGCACGTCTCCACGGGGGCACCGCTGTCGATCAGCCAAAGCACCTGGAACTGGTGCTGGTCCAGCGCGGAGGCAGCGGGCACCCCCGTGGCGGCCGTCTCGCTCTTGTCGGGCTTCGGCAGGGGCGGGAGCTTGGACAGGTGGTATGCGAAGCTCTGGACCTGCAAAGCATCGAAACGACCGAATGAATCGCGCGCCTCTCAAACAACAGCGCCAATCACGCACGAGAATCACCAAGAATCACAAAAGAGCGTCGGGGCCGGACTCACCTCCTCCTTGGACAAGTACTTGGCGCGCATGGTGTACCACATGGCCAGCATGGCGTGGCCCTGCGCGGCCGAGCAGAGGTACTTCTGCGTGCAATGCTTGACGTCGAGCAGCCACTCGGCGAAGCTGTGGTGGAAGAGCAGCAGCTGCGGCCGCGGCTGCGGGCCCGAGGTGACGAGCACGCGGCGCAGCAGGTGCAGCCGCCAGTTGAAGTACTCGCGGCTCACGTTGGGCAGCGAGGTGCTGATGCAGGCCGAGAGCTCGTCTCGCGAGAGCGGCCGCCGCGTCGTCAGCAGGACGCTGAGCAGCGGCTTCACCTTGGCAAACTGCTTGCGGTTGAAGAGCCGCTGGCACAGCCACAGGTACAGGCCGTTGAGCGTGCCCGGGATCTCGCGCACCTCGCGCAGCACGATGAAGTTGTCGGCCACGCCGTCCAGGACCTTCTCCAGGTACAGGAAGCAGCCGTTGCTCTTGATGTGAAGCTGGTTGAGCATCTCGGCCGTGTCGCGAGAGATGTGCTGGCGCAGCGAGTCCTCCCGGTCCAGCCGGGCCAGGATATACTGCTGCACGTCGCGCACCACCTGCAAAAGGATCAGCGGGGTCAGCAGGGTCAGCGAGGCGAGGCAAGGTCAACGCGGCGCTTAACTCACCTGCGACTTGCGCAGGTCGTCCAACGAGATCTTTCGGAAGCCGGTAAACATCCTGGCGACGGCCTTGCTCTGGCGCCGGGCCGTCACAACCAGGAGCAACCATTGCGGGAACAGGTGGTGGTTGTTGGCGAGCAGCTCGCCGATGGTCCGGCTTGGCGCGCCCGCAGGGGAAGGCACCTCCAAGGGCCCGGCCTCGTCAAGGGAGTCCACGAGCAGGAACAGGCACTGTCGGGGCGCCTCCAGCTCCAGCAGCGGGAACAGCACGGCGCGGCGGAACGCCTCGTCGGGGTCCCTTTCCAGCAGGTCGGGGTGCAGCGCGGACTGCGGAGACATGGGGTGAGACAGGTGTCATGGAGCGAGGGCGTCACAGCAACGCAGTAGCGGGCACTCACCTGGACTTCAGGGTCGGAGCGCACCCTCTCGGCATATGCGGCGGCCGCGGCGGGGGGCAGCGACTGGGGCGGCAGCGCGGCGGGGCCAGGGGCGGGGCTGGGGCCGGCGGGCGGCGAGGAGGCGGTCAGCTGCTGCTGCGTGTGGATGGCCTGCAGCTGCCGCACTAGGCTGCGGATGAACTCGGGCACGGCCAGGGTGGCCGCGTCGTGCGCCTGGCAGAAGTGGTAGGCGAGCAGGCGGCGGCGGAGCGCGCGCTGCGGCCGGCCCGCGGGGCCCTGGGACGGCCACACCGCCTCGCAGCACAGGGCGGTCTTGCCCGTGCCGGGGCCGCCCACCACCAGCGCGCCGCAGGTCTTGCTCGCGGGCCGCGCCTCCAGGCAGTGCGCCAGCTTGGCGAAGGCCCACTCACGACAGAAGAAGCGCTTGCGCTCGAGCGGCGCATGCTGGACGCCGCCGCCGCCGCGCACCGGGCCCGCGGGCGTCGTCGGCGGCCTCGCGGGCTGCTGCTGCGGCTGCTGCTGCAAGCCCTCCTCGGCGGTGTCCAACACCTCGCCGTCATCAGCCGCGTCACCGCCTCCGGCCGCCATCGCCGCGTCCACCGCCCCTACCGGCCCGGGGGCGGCGCCGGGGGCTGGGGCGGCGCCGGGGGCGGGGCCTGAGGGGTCAGCCATCTCTCGTCATGCTGGCCCGACCTCTGTCGCACCGCCTACTGTAACAAGACACCCCGCAATCGACATGAGTTCCATATTAAAGAACATAGAAAATAGTGCATTTCTCGGTATTTCCTAAAATTGCAGCAAAAGAAAAATAAGAGCAAGTTTTGGTTTTAGCCGTTATTTCATTTTTGACAGCGTTTCTAACGGCTGACAAGGATGGTGGACTGACCGTCGTGCCGGCCCCGCCCGCTGTCCTGGACGCCCATGCTGGCCTCGGGGCTGGGCTGGGCTAGTCTCCCCGCGGGTGAGTCGCCGACAGCGCCATCTGCAACAACACGCCGAACCAGCACCGTCAGTGTTTGTTGACCCGGGGACGGGACGAGACCCGTGGGGGTGGGGTGGGGCCGGGCGACCGCGGCCCCCCGCGCGCCACGCGCTGCAAGACACACAACCAAAAAAAATTCCGTTCGCCCGCCTCCGATATCACATGTAGTCATCTCTCTATATCCTCTACACCGCCGCCCCTCAACCTCCCCTCTGCCCCGGTCTCGTGCCAGAGAATATCAAACATCCCGCACGTCCCCTGGTGTGTCTGCGTGTGCGTGTGTGTACCTGGCGCGCGCTATCAGAGCGCCTGTCAGGTCGAGGATAGGCCACCGGCGGCGCGCGGGGGCGGGCGGGCTGCCTGGCCCGCGGAGTGACAGGGGCCAGGGCCTCCGCCAGGGCGCTGCCCAGCATGACGAGGGTGAGAAGGAGGAGGAGGAGG